TAGCAATTATATGTTGTAAACATTGTCTCTCAATCTGTAGTTTGTCTTATTTAATTCAGTAACAATTGAACTTTTAATACAAAAGTTCTTGCAGGTAAAGTAATTTTTAACCACTTTTTTCTTTGTGATTTATGCTTCATATTTCTGTTTTAGAAATCCTTTCCTATCCTAATGACATGAAAATATTCTCCTATTTCTTCAAAAAAATTTTCACAGTTTGGCTTTCCACATTTAAATATTTAATCTTAGTGTTTCTTTTTGTGGGTGGTGTGAAGTAAAGGTCTAGTTTTATCTTTTCCCTATCTATAGACAGTTGTCCCAGGACTGTGTATTCAGTGCGGACCCACAACCAAGTGCCAGTGTTTACTGTTGATTCCTAGACTCTGTCTCCTGTTTGGACTTTTTGCCTAAATTGCACTAATACCACACGACTTCAATTACTGCAGTCTAATACTAAGTCCTAATAACTGGCAGAGAACTCCTTTCTTATCATACTTCTTCAAAATAGTCATGCCTAGTTTTGAGCTTTAACTTCAAGTAGTCTAGTCCCACCAAAATATACACACATGCATACTTTTGAATTTTGAGTATATAGCAGTTAGGAATAATTTATGGGAATAGGAATAATAATAGGAGTCTGACTCCAAAATGACAGATAACACAAAATAGCAGAAACTTAAACAAGGTAGTTTATTTCTATCTCGTACAGAAGTCCAGCAGTGGGCAGCCCAGGCTGGCGGGGCAGCGTCCTAAAGGTGTCAGCCCCCGGCTCCTTGCTGCTGCTGTAACCCCAGCACAGGACTCCACCTGATCCTCTAAAAAGGGCGAGCCCCTGCCTCTGAGGATCTTCCTGGCCGGCCCATATTCCGTTTCTGCTGATATACCATTGTCAGAACCTAGTCAATGTGGCAGGAAACTGAGAAAGGTAGCAAGTCACACATACATACACACCCAAGAAAACCAAAACTGTTTTTTTCAAAGAGGGAAAATGGATATTGGAAGTGAACCAGCAGTCTGCTAGACTGGAGTTGGCAGTGTCTGGATAGATTAGAGGATTACATGTTACCAGGCTCAATTCAGGAACATGCTGAATCTTTCCATTTACTTAGAGATCTTGCAGATCTTTTGTTTGATTTTATTCTTAACTACCTTATATTTTTTATTGCTATTTATAAATAGTAATTTTTTGTACATACATTCTCTAAATGATTTCAATAGAGGGAATGTTACTTTTTAATTATACTCTCTTGTTCTCATGCTTTGAGAGACATTTGTAAACACTCTTGGATTTTCTAGATAGACAGTCATCATTTGAATAATGAGTTTTGTTTCTCTTTTTCTATCTTTACCTGAGATTTTTGTTTGGGTTTGGTTTTTGTTCTCATTATGCTGTAACTTGTGCTGAATGCGAGAATTGGTAATAGGCATTTTTGTCTCTTCATGAATGGGTACTGAATTTTGTCAAATTGTTTTCATACCTATTGAGATAGTGATTTTTCTCCTTCAAATTGTTAATGTGTAGATTATGTTGCTAGATTTTCTAAGATATCTGAGTATAAATCCTAGTATAGCACATCATACTAGATAATTATTTTTTAAACATTGTTGGATTGAATTTGCTGATTTTTATTTGGGATTAGTATATCTACCCAAGAAAAATAAACTATATATTGTATAATTTTTCTTGCTCATAATGGCCTTGTCTATTTTGGAAACAATGTTATGCTAGGCTCAAAAAATTAGGTGGGAAACTCTCCTTCCTTTTCTGTACTCTACAGCAGTTTATATAAGATAAAGAGTCCTTAAGATTTCATACACTTCACCTGTAGGTTTTTGGGGGGCAGATTTTTAAGTACTATTTCAATTACATTAAAGTATGACATATCCAGAAAAGTACATGCTATATAATAATAGTAATCATACAAATGTACTTTTTATGTTTATTTTATTCAACATCATTTGAGAGATTCAGCCATATTGTTGCATGTCATTATAGTTCATTCATTCACACTGCTTTATTAGATTACAGTATGTGAATACACCATAACTTACCCATTCTATAGTTGATGGGCATTTGGGTAGTTCCTATCTTTGAATAATGCTGCTGAGAACATTCCAGTCCATGTCTTTTGATGAACACGTGTTTGAATTTCTTTATCCAGGAGTGGAATTGCTGAGTCTGACATGTGGCTCAGCTTAAAGTAGATGGTCCTGAGCAATTTTCAAAGATAATTACCAATGTCTGTTTTTTCTAGAATAAGTTTTAATAAGTTATACTTTTCTAGAAAGTTGTCATTCATCAAAGTTATTGGTATGAATAAAGTATTCTTGTGATTTTTTAAAAATCTGCCATTATATCCCTTGTATTATCCTTAATACTGTTTATTTGTGCTCCTTCATCTGTCTTTTCGTCAAGCTTGCCAGGTTTGCCTATTTTATTTGACTTTGTAACAGCCAGCAGTGAGTTTTAGTGACTCCTTCTGTTTCTTTGTTTTCCACTTTACTGGCATTTGCTGTCAACTTTCTACTTTCTTCTTTCTCGTTTCTTTAGATTATTGTTACTTTCTCTAACTTATTAAATTAGGTATACATAACCCTTTAATTTTCAGTTTTCTTTTTTTAAGTTAAGCTCAATATTTAAAATTACATGAACCACTTTATGACATCCCATAAACTTTGATAGGTAGGTAATAGTTTTGTTTTATTCATTCTGAGATATCTTCTAATTTCCATTATGAGGATTTTTTTGGTTTCCAAATGTGTGGGGTTTTTTGTTAGAGTTATTATTTTGATGTTGATTTCTAGTTTAACTGCATTGTGGTGAGAATATAATCTGTGTAATGTTTATGATTTGGTGTTTGTGAATATTTCATATAGGATCTAGTGCACAATTACTTTGTAATTACAATTACATGTAAATACTTTACATGTAATGGAAAAGAATGTATATTCTCTAAATATTAAATGCAAGGTATATATATCCATTTAGAAATAAACTTGTCATTTATTTTTTATATTATTATTTTTTGGCTGGTTGATCTATCAGTTACTGAGTTATATGCTGAAAATTAAATATATGTCTGGATGCTTCCACTTCTCTTGTAATTCTATTTATTTTTGCTTTCTGTGTTTTGATGCCATTGTGTTATATATAAATATATTCATGTATTCTATTGATTTTATCCCTAATACTGCCCTTTTTTGCCTTTGAGGTCTATTTATTTGGCATGAATGTAGCAACATCAGCTTTCTTTGATTAGTGTTTCTCTGATTTTTTTCCATCTCTTTACATCAACTTGTGTATGTGTTTATATTTTAGATTTATCTTTTGTAGGGAAGAGGTGAGAGGTGAGAGTGGCTTTTGTTTCCCTAATTTTTTTTCACAGCTGTTTTTTCTCGTAATACTTTATTCTTTTCTTTAAGGTCCTCCTGTGACGTCCTAGTCTTTTTGAAGTGTGTAGTCATTTTCAGATCCTACTATATTCAGGTCCTTGGGGACCCAGTCCTCCTCTGTGTTGTGTGTGCCGACTTGCTCATCATTGGTGATTTCCTTGTGGATTTTGTAGTTTTAAATTCTGAGTTTTTTCCCCAGTGGAGCTTTAACCATAAATCCCATGTAACCCCAAGGCAAGAGAATCTCTCTCCACAGTAGTTTGACGTTTGCTTTTGCTTGGCTCCTTAGGTATCTCCATCCCAAAACCAATTTTATGTAACTTTTTGATGGGTTCTGAGACCACATATGTATAGTATAACTTGAACCCCAAATTTGCCTGTGGTTCTTAATTCTCAGGCAGGACCAAGACTCCTGCTGCCTCCCGGGGGAAGACAGGCTTTTTAGTTTGATTTTTTTCATCTGTGTCACTGAGGGTGCTGCCATTTGAAGATTGTATCTTTAGACAGATAATTGAGCTCAAAATTGCTGCGTCTTTCAGACCCAAGGCCGCATCTTCTGAACCCAAACAGTGATAAAACCCAGTGTGGTTCTGGGTGAGCAGGACCTGTGCTCCCCCGTCTCCCAGGATGCTCACTGTGTGCGGCTCTGCTTTCCACGCCCGCTTGTTCCTGAGGCCTTGCGACTCCACTTACTTCTTTCATGTTTAGCTGTGTATAGAAATATTTATTTATTAATAGCATTCTTAGGTCTTTATAGTAGGAAGATTTTCAGATACTTAGTCTATAATTTTGTCAGGACTAGAAGACTTCTAGAAATAGAGATTTAAATTAACAAATTCAAAGATTGCCATATAGCTAGAAACATGGATTTTTTAAAAGCAGCATGTGATGCATTTTTCTTCCCATGATGGCTTCTTTTTTTGTTGGTGACATAGACTAAGCAAGGAACGGCATTGCTGTCGGTCCTCAGGATCCGTGGAACCACCCTCAGAGAGATGGTTACTGATCCTCACTTCTCACCTTTTCCCTGTTTGTCAGATTTCCCTTCATACTCTCTAGCCTGTTGCTGAGTTTTTATCACAGTCTACAGTCTTCCTGCACTGGGCACGCTCAGGATTTACTTCAGCCATAAGAAGAAGAAAGGTAGAGTGGGGAAGCATTTTAAGGGCCGTGATGGAAACACCAGATATCTGGCTGCCCTCAGTGATTTAGCCTCCTCTCCATGTCTTCCTTTCTATCGCACCCTGCAAAGCCCTGAGCTCCTAAGAGTTCACTGGAGTTGGGACAGTCAGTGGTGTCACAGTCGGGCTGAAATTAGGAGTGTTTGTATGTGTCTTTCACTGCCTTCCAGAGCCACAGTGCACAAACAGCTTTTGCACTGCCCATTACTTTCTTTTCTCCTGAGCACCTACTGCAGGTGCCAATTTTGTGCTATTGACTGAAGGATGTTGTGATACTTTTGGATTCAAATTGCTTGCCTGGAACAGATCAATATGACACTACATTCCCAGTCTATAGATGTAACTGCATTGAGAGAAAGCTCTTCCAAGCATTATGATGGTTCTGCTCCTTCTGTGTCTGATAACCGTGTGTTGATCTCTTTTTAGGGAGGAATGATCAATTGGAATCGTCTTTTTCCTCCTTTACGTCAGCGACAAAACGTAAACTATCAGGGTGGTCGGCAGTCTGAGCCAGCAGCGCCCCCTCCTCTAGAAGTTTCCGAGGAACAGGTAATTCATCAGTAATAGCTGGTACTCATTCTAAATCCATGTTTCAGAGTTGAAGCAGTTTCGACCAACAGAACTTGAAAGTAATCAAGCATGTAAATACAAAGATGGTGACAGCAGTCCATCTGCCACCATGATAGAGACTTTGGGCCTTTTTTTGCTACTGTGGTTCTTACAAGTTTGAGGAAGGCATTATTGGTTGGGAGTAGGGGGTGGGAATGCATTATGGTAGCTTGTTTTAGATGCTCTTACACTTCATATATACAAGACACTAATGAGATTGGTTCTCTATAAAGGATCGGGAACAAGGAGGTGGGAGGATGGGGAGGGAGTGTGCCTTTGGCATGGTTTCATTTTTGTATGGTTTTGAGTCGTGTTAATGTTTTACATATTCAACAAGCAAACCAAAAGACAGGGACAAATGTAAAGCTGAAAAGAAACAAATGAGCTAACTGCATTTCAAATGAATAACATAATCACATTGAATGAGGGGAAATGGTTTTCAGTAACTTTTGAACCTGATATACCCTCAGTCTAATGAAGAAACAAAAAGAACTGCAAACAAATCTTAAACATTTCTTCATAGGTTTAGTTTTCATAAGGGTATGAGTATAGCAATTCTAAAATTATGCTGTATTATAGGTTTGAGCAAATGAGGAACTAGGTTGATTTTATTGTGGAAGAAGGAAAATAAAAATATAAAGCAAGGGAAGGCAAGGGAGAACCCTGTGGGGTTGGGAAGGAATTATCACTATCATTGTAAACTCATGAGAGTGTGTGTGTGTGTGTGTGTGTGTGTGTGTGTGTGTGTGTGTACACATACCCTCACTCTGACTGAGAGGGCTCAGAAGCAGTGGCCTCCTGGTAGCAATGGGCTCACCTACTGCCCAGATCTGGTTTCTAAACACTCTTCCCCACTAAAAGGAACCAGGCCTCTTTAGGGAAAGGGTGGATTCCAGGCCCAGGGTAGGGAACGTACAGGATAGCCCTGGATCATTGTGTGCCAGGAAAGTAAGGAAGTGATCAGTCGCTGCTGGGGCATGTCAGAAGACACTGGAGCCAGCTGCAGGATCCTGCTGGTCACATCTGGGGCATCAGCTTTGGGGATTAAAATAAATGAAGGATAGTAAGAATTCATGCATTATAATGATATTAGTAGATAAATATTTGTATAAATACATACACTGGAGAAAATGAAATGCTTTTCCTGAATGGAATGTCAAGTAATAAATATACAAAGAATGATAGTATTGGAAAATCACAAATTTGCAAGCATTGTAATAAAAATCCATTCAGGGAAAAATCATCAATATATGAAGACTAGGCTATTTCTATATAGATGGTCCCTGACCTATAATGGTCAAACTTTAACAATTTTTCAGTTTTATAGTGGTGCAAAAGTGATACATACTGAGTAGAAGCCATACATCAAATTTTGAGTTTTGCTCTTTTCTCAGGCTAGTGATACGTGGTACGAGACTCTTTTGCGATGTTGGGCAGCGACTGTGAACCGTTCTGTTTTTCACTTGCAGCACAATACTCAATAATTACATGAGATAGTCAACACTCTAGATTTGTGAGAGTTGATTTTGCCCAACTGTAGGGTAATGTTAAGTGTTCTGAGCATGTTTAAGGTAGGCTAGGTTAAGCTGTCATATTCAGTAGGTTAAGTATACTAAATGCATTTCGACTTACGATATTTTCAGCTTACAGTGGATTTATTGGGACTTAACCCCATCGTAGGTTGAGGAGCACTTGTACTCTCAAAGTACCCCTCCACAAGTTACTTACTAATTATAAAGGAAAACAGTAATTCTACAGAGGAGAAATTGGACACCACCTTAACCAAGTTATCAAAATTAACATCACCAGTTATGGAACAAAGAATTATTATGTTCATATCCTGAAAAGGACATATCAGTTATGTGTTACAATCAACATGCATAACTTTGATCATAAAGGAAAATAAGATAAACTTAATTTGAGGGACAGTCTATAAAATACCTGGCCTATGTTCTTCAGAAATACGATGTTGCAGATTAAAGGAGACTAGGGAGTCATGCTGTCCAAATGGAAAATGTGATCCTGGACTGGATTTTATACTGGAGAAAAAATTTCTGATGAAAGGCCATTTTAGCATCAGTTTCATCAATTGGACTATGGATTGGATATTGGTATTACATGAATTTTACATTTCCAGGACTTGGTACATACCGACTGTGGTTAGGAAAGAGAATATTCTTGTTCTTAGAAAATACACACTGACATATGAAGGGAAAAAGCACCATGATGTGTGCAACCTGCTCTCAAATGGCTGAGGCATAATGTCTGTGCATGTCAGTACATAGTGTGTGATCGTGTGTACGTGTGACAGAGACAGAAAGAGAAAGCGGCTATGGCAAAATAACAGTTGGTGAATCTGGTTAAGGAGGAATCAAGGGTTCCTGGTACTATTCTTGGAACTTTTCTAAGTTTGAAATTATTTCAAACTACAACCTTTTAAAAAGCTATAAAAGAAAGTTAAGAGTGTTGCCATCATAACACTTTGAAGTTTCCTTCTGCCCATTGTTTTTTCTTCTCAGCAAACAAAACAAACTGAGATCAGCATTTCACAGCTGACCACACCATCCAGGCCATCGCCTCCCCATTCCCTGTCCCCAGAGTGAACAAATGCCAGGCACCTGCCTCTGTGGCAAAACTTTGTCCTCACTTTTTCCAAAACTCAAAACGTGCCCCTGGGCAGGGATCTCGTAGCCACCTCTGGGTTAGGCTGTGGCAGGTGTTTTCCAGAGAAACCACTGTCATGTGCCCATTGAATTGATCCAACCCCTCCCGCTTGCGGCTTCTCCACTCGGACTGATGGTTTCAGCAGCTCTTCAGGATTAACAGGTGGAGTGTGGAGCCACAGTTTTCCTCTTCTACGTCCACTAGAGAATTTCTAGACTAAGGTTATCCCCATGGATAAGAAAAGTCCAATAACCTGCCATGTGTAAAATCTTTCTATAACGTGTTTAAAAAATAAGATACTGCTGTCAAATTCACTGAAAAGAAGTCTCAAAATTCTGTTATATTACTGTTTACTTGATACAGCAGTGAGTCACATTCCTCATGGGGCAGCCGTTAAGATGAGGTATTTAAAGGTGATATATTTCTCAGTTTGGGCACTTCAGAAAAAAAAAGTGTCAAAAAGGGAGAAAAAGGAGTATGTGTGTGATTGAAGTCTTCAGGGTGGTTTTTTTTTTTAATGAGTCATTTTTCCTTGATCATCCCAGAATGACAACAGCGAGGTTACATATTGTCAACATCAGTTTAAAACAGCACTTAATTTCTTCCTTGTGCTGTGTTATGAGCAGTTGTAAAAACATGAGGGGTTGTTTTTAACGTACACTTTCTTATACATTGATTTTCAAAATCTTGTTTTTGATGTTTGTTGATTATCCTGCAAACAGCTGTTATAAACCATTGTTGCCTTAAAGACGCAAGGTTCTTACTGGCATTATTCATTCTGCAGGCTCTTGGTGTTTCTTGCAGTGGGTACTATAGAGATTATAAAAGATAAAAATGATACTGTTCTTGCCCTCAAGATGCTTACAAAAAAGTTTATAAATTTATATTTTATAATCTCTTGGCCAGTTTGTTTAACCACTGTCTAAAATATTTGTTAATAACATGTTAAGATAGCTTGAATTAACAAAAGCTTTTTTTTGCTTAATTTTTCAGTTAAATGTTTGTATTTTCTTGATTTAAATATCAGAGCCATGTAATTTTAATGCATTGAGAAACTCAGTAACTTTTTAAGCCAAGAAAAATAGAAATGATTGAGTTTTTTTCTGCTGTAAACAAATACTTTAGGAATTTAGTGAGAGTTCAAGAAAACCTGGTAGACATGAAATGTATGCCGTGTACTTTGAAAGCAGAAGATTCTAAGAAGAATGTGCATCCTTTAATAAATCCAATAATAGTTTGATAGCCATAGAAATCTTTTGCCACCTTTTCTACTTTTGCTATTTTTGCTATTATTAAGATTCAAGACTTTTAGTTCTTCAGAATCCACTCCCACTTTTTGGTGAATAAACCCACGGCACCTCTGCCAATTCATCACCCCTCAGAAATGCCACCCCAGCCCCATTTAAGAATATCCCAAGAAGGAGGCTGCTGTGCAGGCAGGCGGTGCGAGGCTGGAGAGTGCCAAGCCACACAGTGCGCCCTGTGCTGCCTGGCCTGCCAGCTAGATGGTCAGGATGGCGACAGCGACCCCCGGAAACCACAGGGTGAGATGTCTGCTCATGCCTTCCCTGTGCAGGCATGCAGGGAGGAAGATCAGAAGAAAACCCCACAAGTTCCTACCAATTTCACAGAACTTTCCAAGTGCTCTTAGAGTTGAAAGATAACATCTGGGGAAAGAGAAGTCTAAATTTGATGAAAGGACAAAGGTAGATAAAGTCGGCTGTGGGAGGAAAATGAAGGATTATGGACCAGCTAAGGGAAGCGAGGAGAAGGCCCCCCTAATGCCCCCCAAAGACCGCTGCCTGTCCTCTTCAGAATCCCCAGCATCAAATCCATAGACCCTGGGGTTGCTTTTGGAGATGTGTAGACAAGCTGGGTGAGCTGTGGAATCAGTGACCGTGAGAAGCAGCCTTAGGACAGCAAGGTGGGGAAGCTGCTGGAGAAGGATAGGCGGTGTCACCGGCTCTGAGTCTAAAGGGAAAATGGGTGGCAAGAAGGTCCTGCCAGGGTTGTCCAGAGAAAGCTAGGCAAGAAAGAGGAGGAGGAGGAAGAAGATAAATAAAAACTGTTTGTCAACAACAATAGCAAAAATGCCAAACGAAAGGCCACTTGATAAAACTCTTTTGAGTAATCAAATGTGCTCAAATATCTGCTATCTTAGAAATAAGTATATCCGGCCGGGCGCGGTGGCTCAAGCCTGTAATCCCAGCACTTTGGGAGGCCGAGACGGGCGGATCACAAGGTCAGGAGATCGAGACCATCCCCCGCCCCTTTGC